ATTTTCTATCTCCATTCTAAAAACGTTGGGTAGCAGTCCATCAGGCGATGCTGCTTTGCATCATTCCAGGTTTGGCATAGTCCTTTCAACTTTGAAGACAGTTTGAGGAGTGACATGTACGTCCCGTTTAGGTTTAGACTGTCTACTGGGCAACTGAAGCGTTGCTGTAGGCCAGTTAAAACGGACTTAGAAGTGTTTCGCCCAAAGTTCTAGCCGCTTATCCTGGGAAGTTATCAGTGTCCCGTCCATTTCGGTAATGGGTAAACTCACCATCGTCTTCTTGATGGTATCCTTAATCAGCCTAAATAATTGACGAGTTCTACCCATTGTTGAAGCCTTTTCCATCTCATTCGCGTTTGTCGCCCACCACTGCTTGTGATTATTGCGAAGACTCGTAGTAAATTTACGTTTGAGCTGCTTTCATCACTCCTTGTAGTCAGAGCCAACTGGAATGAGTCTTCTCGCACTAATCAGTTCGGGTGATGTCGCGGAAATCCAATGATGTTTGCTAACCTTCAGGTGTAGGTTACCAACTGCATTAACCGTTGTTTCTACTGCCGACTTAGTATCATACCAGGTTTTCTCACAATCAGCACTGCTATAACGGTCGCAAAAATACTTAGTTAACTACTCTCTAAGTGCATATCTGGCGTCCTCAACCAATACCCTGCCCATGAGCCTCACTGTCTCCAACGGCCAGCAAAACGCAGACATAAACGAACCCCTACTAACGCGTGATCGAAGTCCAATCTCGTACTCCAGAAACACTAACAATCCTTCAACGATGGTTGACAACAATATGATCCATTTGGGTCTATCATCAATGGTTTCATGTCAGCGGATGTCATGTGAGACAACCTCTCTCCTTATACTTAAAGTTAATCCCAACCAGAAACAAGTGATTACCAGGACTAAATTGCACCAGACGATCACCGTTGTCGGTTCGTTGGCATGAAATTCCGTTAATACCCCGCAGGATACTTGCCTTTCCGATTGCCTCAGCTTCCCTACTTCAGCATTAAAGTCACCTGCCATTATGATTACATCTGAACAGTTTGCTTTCCGCAGAAACGTTGACAGCCCAAACAATTCATCATTTGCCCCATCTGAACTACAGTTGGTGAGTGCATAGACAGAGATTACGAATAGGCATCGGTTGGTCTCATGATTCTTTCTAGTTCTTACAGATTCATTCAGTCGAACGGCACACAGATAGCTGTTTACTGGTATCCAGTTAATGAGTGCACTTCCTGCTCTATAACGTAATGTTATGCCTACATCACTGTGTCCTAGAGAGTCTCCGCATACTCGTAAGGTGAATTTTGAAGATTAACTACAATCGCCAGGTGAGGTCAGTTTAATAACCACACTCGGGTCCTGTGAACGTGTCTCAGAGACAGCATAAATCCATAGTCTGAGATTCCTGAGTTCTACCTAGTGTTGCCTTCTGTTACATTTGTAACACGGTTCGGATGTTGAGGCAAAGAATGCTAAATCGATAGACTAGGAATGGTGTTTCGATGTCTTAGATCGTCGGCAATGGAGGCAGAGTGAGAGATTGGGGAAGTTGTTAGCGGTTTGGTTTTGGTATTGAGAAATGAAGGCAAAGGTAAGGTGGGTAAGTTATGGTTGATTTAGTTTTGCATACTACGGGAAGCGTGTGGGTAGTTGACACTTCCCGATTCTGAAAAAGAAGGGTTAGTGGGTGACTGCAGAGTCTGCAGACGTCTGATTCAGACTGATCACTCACCGCCTCTCTAGAAGTTTGATAGCATAGTTTATTCTGTGCAAATACGACTATGAACCCCCTATCGTCGGCACGAGTAGGCGGCGAGGTAGAGTGGAGTGTCATTTCTAGGGCCAGTATTTTTTAAACCCTTCTCACATTTTCAGTAAGGAAGGGAGCATCAGGGAGACACTGCTGGCCATCCAAGGTAAACATCCTGCTGCCTTTGCACTTCCGTCCAGCCAGGAGTATGATTTCGCTTTAGATCCCCAACACAGTAAACATTTACACTACAACGGTAATTGCTTTTTGGCTGACCATTATCAAACAAACCTTTCTGGTATGGTAAGATCTTGAGGTAACAAGCGTCCCACTAGTACAGCTCATTGGGTCATTATGATTTCCAAGCCTGACCACCACGACTAGGTAACAACTATCGGTGGTGTGGAGCATCAAAAAGAAATTCGAAGACATATAAACATGACTTTAGAAAACCAATTTTAGATTCCCAATGTGGCGTAGCGTTAAACCCACATCATCCTAGGCAAAATTTACCAGCTACTGAACCTACTATACAGAACAATTTGGTTTGCCTTATCATTCTGTTGAGAGCCCTGTATTAAAACACCCATGAACATGTCAAGGGTTATGCTGAGGTATCGGATGAGTTGTGTACGTCAAGGTTGTCCACCCTATTCTTATTCAACTTTGTAATAAATGGAGGTATCCTCGTCTGACTTGATAAGGATCTGCCTAGTCAAAAGAAACTCGTCAGCGGACTCAGTACGCAGATGAAATGGTACTGTTAGGTGGAAATGCTGACAAGATGAAGAGTTTTCTGGACAACTTTAGTAGGCATTTGAGTGTTTGAGAGGCATTTCTCACCACACGAATGCAAATTGGTGATCCAAGACTGGTCTCGGTTGATGCGTTGATCTTTTTACTGACCTGAGAAACCAGATCAGTCTTGTTGAGACAGTGTACACTAAATTTCTGATCAAAAAGTTCCTGTTTTTTGACAACTTGCGATATTTACGGCACCATTGTGACATCCGACTACCTATAAGCGTTGAACATACCGCAGTCTGTACTAACATGGAACCTCATTTCAGCACATGAAGCAAGGATGCACTAAGATTAAATATAGACAAGTGAGGAAGAAAGTAGATAAAATTGGTAGAAAGTAGTGAAGAGAGAATAGATGGAACATTGATGAAATTCGGTATGATGATTGAGATAATATAGAGATATATCTGTATCAATCAAATCAATTGAGGTATATACACCTATAGTCTCCAGCTGACAATTTTGGTTGTCACACTGACTTCGAGTGAGAAGTCTACATTCTTCTACACGACTAAGAACAAAAGTTAAACTTCATAGACAAGTGTGGTTTCAGTCTGGCCGGCTCTAACTTCTAACCAACTTGAACACCATCTTCAATCTGCCGTAACCGACTCTCGGAAAGTGGTCAAAAACGTCTAGTGGGTCTCTGTAGCTTCTAAATTAATGAATGGATGCAGATGAACGCATTCCTACAAGCTTGGGGAACAATAGGAGGCAACTTGGATTTAAGCTTGAAAGGAGACTATCCAATGACCGCAAGCGGTGGTAGCGAACGTAGACTGATATTAAAGGTACCAGGTATACCTAACTGTAAATGGCTACTTAAACTTACCAAGCAAACTGGAGTGAAGTGTCAATGGTTAGTGAGAGTACAGACGCTAAATGGGGCTAGACTAAAACAGTGCACCAGTCCAGAAAGTCTATAACTATCGACCTGGGTTATATAGGGGAAGACAGAATTCACGGTTCGTGTCCACGTTACAAGCGAAACCGGCGGTTGGAGACCCTAGGTGACGTGGGCCAGAATCGAACGCAATGGTCCAACGTATTCAGGCATTAGCTTCATCTTAATAGTCATGCCAAATCTCAAGATTTTTCAAATCCTTCTTCACTATCTTATTACGCATCCCTACTATCATGACGTCGATATGTGAGAACGTGGACGGCTACAGAGTAACAGCAGGTTAAACTAATGCGGACTAACTTGTCTACTACATCGTATGCAATGGCTAGAGTCAAATACACACATTATAGTCGACTAGCTAGTGGGGCAGGAAGACTTTTGCAGGTAGAATACGGTAGGTTTTAGTAAATTAATAACCTATAGAGCAGCTTAGATATAACCATACCCGCTGTCAACCGCAGGACAGGATGATACCGATCCTAAAATATTCTTTGGATGAAGCGATAGATTGATAACTGAATGTTTGTCAAATTAATATCAGACACAAGCTTTAAAGTAACTCGGTAAGTCCTATTTGTCTGAAGATTTTTAACTACACAGTAGGACAGGAAGACGGATTGGAAGTACATGACGTCCCAATTTTGTCGAATTATCCTGATGACTATAGATGGAGATAAACTGTACCCAAAACGTTATCCGAGGATGACTACCATGCATTTAGCATTCAACAAACGAAATTAAGTCAAATAGTTTCTAGTAGGTTTTCGTCCTGGTGCACTTGTCACTAAGTTAGTCAAAGCTCAATACATTACTTCCTATCATATAACCATGAACAGACTATAGGTTATTGGGGATAGTAGCTAAAAAAGTTAATCACTGGAAACAAGTCCAGTAGTGACTACAAGAGAAAAGTACAGTTGTGGTACCGTATTTTTGAGCTAATGAGTAATCATTTTGGGCTGAAGCAAACTACAGAAAAAATACAAAACAGACTGTGAAGTTGTGGCCACCAACTACCTGACCAGAAATCAACTAAGCTTTTTGACATGATACTTTCGTCTTTGATACATGACAACTAGTGACGAGTTATTCAGACCGTCCTATTTACCAAGGTCCTGTGCAAAATCATGTGGAAATTTACAAAACAAGAACAAACTGGCAACAGTAGTTCGTGATCATACCCAACTGCAATAACTAGGAACAATACACTCAACACATTACGACGTTTACTTATGCAGATCAAAAACTGAACTGGTACCAGGGCAAATAGACCACAGTTCTGGTCACATAAACGTATTAGGTGCTTCGTGAGTGTCCTAAAATCTATGTTATGATCAAAAGACTAGTGCAATAGCAAAATTTCTAACTTTCCGTCTCTGACTAAATGTGCATACTTTTATTTACCTTGTAGGTACACCACTTACATAAATCCAACGGATCGTCAGCTGTTTGCTTACTCTCCCCTAACATACATTTTTATGGATAATATACATAAAACAAGAGGGAAAGCTCAATATGACTTACTTTCAATACATTTAGATTCCTAGCAAAGTTGAAAACTGCAGCCAAAATGAAATAAAAATAGTTCTGCCATTACACATTTTTGCGAACACCTAGGCCGATTTTTTCTGATTGATGTATTCAAACAAACTTCAAACTTCGTGCTGTAGAATTAGCAAACTGCGGTTCGTTTGGTTCTATGTCTGTCTTATTGGAATACGTTCTGAGTTTGGAATGGTCACAATTTTCTTCCCGGTTCTGAAAAATTTGAAAGGATAGAGATACGATTAATTAATTAATCTGGTCTCAAGTTAGTATTACTGCATCTGATCTGGGGAAAGCTTCTCGAATATAGCCCATTGGTACCGTAGGACTCGAGGTGTGCATCTAGCCTCCTTTTAAAGGTATCAGGGGATGGTGCTGTAACAACTACTGAAGGGAGGGAACTCCACAGTTTACAGACTCTAACTGCAACAACCTCGCCTGGTTAACTAGTTTACTAGTTACTAGCCGGTCCTAAGCCCGGGTAAAGAGGGAAGGTTGGGCATAGGGCTAGCAACCCTACCCCGTAAAACAAATCTAACCGCTAAAGAAACTTCAAAGCACAAACAAAATATAAAAAATGAAAACAAACTTATTCCCCGCTGGAATCGGAGAGGCGAAATGACGCCAGTTGGTGAAAGCCTTCGGGAAGCCAATTGGCCGATGTGTCTTCTCTCGATGAAAGCGAAAGTAAACGTGGGGACATGGAATGTCCGCACGATGTTTGAACCCAGTAAGGCAGCCCAGATTGCAAGGGAGATGAGAAGGTATAACATCGAAGTGCTTGGGATTTGCGAAAGCAGATGGAATGGGAGTGGACTCTCCAAACTGTCAACTGGAGAATCAATAATCTACTCCGGTCACCCAGACGCCAACCACGAGCACACTGAGGGAGTGGCTATCATGATGTCCTCAAGAGCATCGAAGGCTCTCATGCAGTGGGAACCAATCTCCTCCAGGATCATGACAGCAAGATTCAACTCAAAAGGAAGAAAGGTCACAATCATACAATGTTATGCACCTACAAATAATGCAGAGCAAGAGAAAAAGGAGGATTTCTACAGACAACTTCAATCAACACTGGACAAGACGTCAGTTGGCGATATCAAAATTCTGATGGGCGACATGAATGCCAAACTGGGAGGGGACAACACGGGAAGAGAACTAACCATGGGTCGAGAGGCACTAGGTGAAATGAATGAGAATGGAGAATTGTTTGCAGAATTCTGCGCATTCAACGATTTGGTGATTGGAGGCAGTGTGTTCAGGCACAAAGATATCCACAAAGCGACATGGATTTCACCAGATGGACACACTAAAAATCAAATCGACTTTATCTCAATCTCAAGAAAATGGAGACGCAGTCTACTTAACACAAGGTCAAGAAGAGGAGCAGATGTAGGTTCAGACCACTACCTAGTGCAAGGAACCTTCCAAATCAAGTTAAAAGCCTTCAAGGAAGCTGGTGATAGACCTCAACCCAAGTACAACACTCGGAAACTGAAGGATGAAACTACAAAGGAGATCTTCAAGGCAGCCATCAAGACAAAATGGGAGACATCGAGCAACATCCCTGAAGAAACCTGTGTGGAAGAACACTGGAAGTCTTTGAAAGCTATGTGGAAAGAAACCTGCACAACAGTATTAGGAAGGAAGAAGAAGGAAGACAAGGAATGGATCTCGACGGATACCTGGAAGCTGATAGAGGAGAGGAGGATGGTGAAGCAGAAGATAAACCAGTGCAAGGATGCTCAACGACAAGATGAACTGAGCACAATGTATAAAACACTGGACAAAGAAGTGAAGAAGAGTGCACGCAAAGACAAAAGACACTTCTACGAAACACTGGCAAGTGAAGCAGAACAGGCTGCAGGTAAGAGAGACCTGACGACATTGTATCAAATAACCAGGTTGCTATCAGGGAAGAGACCAACACAGATGAAACCAATAAAAGATGAAGAAGGAAATTTAATTACAAAAGAAGAGAAACAGAGGAAACGATGGGCCGACCACTTCAAGAAGCTCTTGAATCGACCACCACCTGCACTTCGTCCAGAAATACCACCTGCAGCCGCTGAACTACAAGTGAACATTAATCCCCCAACGAAAATGGAAGTCCTGAACGCCATAAAGCTACTGAAATGCGGGAAAGCAGCAGGACCAGATGGAATACCGCCAGAAGCACTGAGAACAGATGCAGAGACAACAGCGGACATGCTCACACCACTATTGCAGAAGGTGTGGAAGGAAGAGAAGGTACCTGACGATTGGAAGAAGGGTTACCTTGTCAAACTGCCGAAGAAGGGAGACCTCAGTGCTTGCAAGAACTGGCGCGGAATCACTCTCCTGTCCACCCCAAGTAAAATATTAAGCCGCATCATCCTGGAGAGGCTAAGGGATGCACTGGATTCAAAACTACGACCGGAACAGGCAGGCTTCAGGAAGTACAAATCATGTGCAGACCAAATTGCAACGCTTCGTATCATCATAGAACAGAGCATAGAATGGCAATCACCTCTCCACCTCAACTTCATCGACTTTGAGAAGGCCTTTGACAGCGTCGACCGAGAAGTAATTTGGAAACTGCTTCAATACTACGGAGTACCGCAAACCTTTATCCGCCTCATTCAACAACTATATGAAGATGCTACATGCCAAGTAATCCACAATGGGAAGCTCAGTGATGCCTTTGAAGTGAAGACAGGAGTGAAACAAGGTTGCCTACTATCCCCCATGATATTCTTGATTGTGGTGGACTGGATCATGCAGCAAACAGTAGGCAGCGAGAAGAGGGGGATACACTGGACGACGGAAAAGAACCTAGAAGACTTGGATTTCGCCGATGACTTATGCCTAATGTCACATAAACTTGAAGATCTGCAGGCAAAAACTAACAAGTTGATAGAAGAGGCAGCGAAGACGGGACTTCAGGTGAATATAGAGAAGACAGAAGTGATGAAGATACCGCACCACCACCATCAACAACAACAACAAACTCCAATCACTGTCAACGGGAGAAACTTAAAGGAAGTAACCTCCTTCACTTATCTAGGAAGCACTGTTTCAACTACAGGCGGGACGGACGAGGACGTCAAAGTCAGAATCGGAAAAGCAAGACAGGCATTCATTAGCCTGAAACCAGTGTGGAGATCTTCTGCACTCAGCATGCGGAACAAGATACGGATTTTCAACACCAACGTCAAGTCAGTGCTCTTGTATGGCTCAGAGACTTGGCGCGTCACGAAAGGTATTTCCAATAAACTACAGACATTCATCAACAACTGCTTACGCTCGCTGCTGAAGATCAGATGGCCAGAAAAAATAAGCAACAAGGAACTCTGGGAACGAACCAACCAAGAACCTATCACGCAACAAATATGCAGGAAGAAGTGGAGATGGATTGGCCATGCACTGAGAAGGCCGACTGAGGACATCACGCGTCAGGCCCTCGAGTGGAATCCCCATGGGAAGCGACGAGTTGGACGTCCAAGGGTGACATGGAGGAGGTCGTGCGAGCAGGAAATGAGAGCTTGTGGGCTGTCGTGGGACCAGGTTCAAAAGATCTCAGAGAACAGAGGTCACTGGAGGCGTGCTACTGAAGCCCTATGTTCCACTAGGAACCCAAGGGACTAATAATAATAATAATAAACTGCAAATGAGTTAGCACGGATCTTTGTACGTGCTCTCTCATGCTCTATTCTTAACGGGTGACCCCTCAGGTCGCGTTTCCGACTAGAGCTTAGAAGGGATCTGTTGGGATGGAGGGGATTATGGGCGATGTGGTACATCATGATCATATCCCCTCTGATCCTCCGGTATCGTACTGGGTGCAGCTGAAGAGCAACTAAGCGGTCTGGGTACGGTTTGTGCCGTAACCCAATCACTTTCTTTGTAGCTCTTCTCTGTACCCGTTCTAGGATGGGAATGTCCTTTTTCAAGTATATGGACATTACAAGCGAATTTTTTTCTAAGTGAGGTCGAATGTACAGAGCATACACTGGGTTGAAAAGAGAAGGAGTTAGACACCCTAAGGTTCGTGAGAGCGACCCCAAGATTCCATAAGCCCTATTGGCTGCAAGGCCACAGTCAACAGAGGCTCCTGGTGTATCATTTAGCGTAATTACCAGATCTTGCTCCATGTTAGAGTGACAGGCATTTGCTTCACCTAGAGGGTAAGAACTGGAACTGCCTTTATGTTTGTCAACTATCATAATTCGACACTTCTTCAAGTTGAGAGGAAGCAGGTTTTCTGTAGTCCAATTAAGGATTTTCGTAAGGTCCTCCTGGAAGATCGAAATATCTGTATCCCTGTATTTCCCTCCAGATCTTCAGATCATCGGCATATAACAGTGAATGTGAATTAAGGACCCCTGGTGGGTCATTGATAAAAGCAAGAAACAGTAGTGGGCCCAGTATGGAACCTTGGGGCACACCAGTCAGCATCGCGAACCAATCAGATAGAGAGGAGCCGACTCTTACTGCACCCTGGTGTACAGATAATCTCTAAGCCAGATTAATAATTTTCCGTGTACACCCATGTGCTGCAGTTTCTTGCAAAGGATATCATGGTTTATCCTGTCAAAGGCCTTAGAAAAGTCAAGTAAACCAATATGTATAGGCTTTTTCTTCTTGACAGAGAGTGTCCAGCTATTCCAAGCTACCAACAAGTTGGTGTTAAATGACCTTCCTGGTAGAAAGGCGTGCTGACGATCGTTCCAGCTTGTAACTTAACGGGTTCATTACAGTTGGATGGCAGATGACCTCACCAATCTTTCAGTACATCAGATAAATGGATCTATGACCACCGTTTTTAGGTCTAACTTCAGTTTCCATACGGCTACAAAGTTGTTCAATGGACATAGTGAAACCAAACGAGATACATGAATAGTTCTATGAATCTGACACCAAACATCAGTAGCGAAAATATGATAAAGTGATAGTTTTTGATCTCTGCCCTTCAGTTCCTGAAGCTTGGTCCTCGTTATTCTGATTTCTTCCTGTTGTGGATATAGAAGTCTCTTCTGCTTTTCCTCGTTTAGCTCTCGTGATAGGATGAGGAATGGTATAACGAGGTGTTAAAATCTACATGGGATGCTTTAGAAAAGTGAAAGTTGATAGAATGAGTAGGGTTAGTGGTCACGAGTAAGAAAACAGTGGATATCAAAAGGATCAGTAAGGAATAAATACGTAGACAGTAGTGAGTTGGTGAAGGACTAGATAGTCTTTGTCACTTAGTTAATGGGGTCAGTAGCATTCCGGTCAAATGATGGTAAGCCATACAAACTTGCAAAGTTGTTCAACTAGGATGAACAATTTGTAAATGATTTACAAGTTTCACGTTTCATGTTGACGTTTCTCGCAGCTGAGCAGTTTTTTCGGCTGCTCAACTACGGTTTCAACGGAATTTCCGTTTACAGCCGCATGGCCAAAATCACATGGTTAGGTCACCGACTCGAAAGTGTTGTGAACCTTTGGAAAATACTATTGAATAACTTGAGGCTGGCCTGTAGATTTCGTTAGCCAGATCAGAGTAACTAGCCTGTTCCCGTACGAGTGAAATGGCCGTCCTATGGTTAGGGCACTCTGATGTGGATAGTGAGAGCTTAACTAGTCATGTAGCCCGGGGATATATTCTGATGGCTGTCGAACCCTCCTCAAAATAACTCCAGTGAGCAGATTCTTTGTCCTGCAGTTAAGCGCTCCATTGGAGCATATGTTTAAGAAAAGGAGGTTTTGTTAAGTTCCGCTGTTTTGTCTGAAGACGGCATTATCTGTTTGTTGCATCACTTTATTAAGAACTCCTGGAGACGATTTCCATGTTACAACAAGAGCTTAAACGTTTACTTGGCGGATGATGTCCCGAAAGGCTTCAAGCGGTCATCGACGGACTGAAAGATGCTTTCACTTGACTGGCTTCCATGTCTAGAACCATAGGATCACTAGCCCCTATGGGTGAGAAACTACGTATGGAGGAGAAAAAGAGAAAAGCTGTGAAGTAAGACGAAATAGACTAGGTTGCTAGCCACTTATTTTGCAAGTCCACACTGTGACCTTCGATGGACAACAATTTTCTGCCTGAAAGACTCTAGTGATGTAACCCCAACAACTGCGGGAACAGCATTCCAAAGCCTAACAATTTTCAGAGACCAAAAGTCACGCCTGATTTTTGTCCTACTGTGGTCAATTTATAACTTGCGAGTACTCACGGTAAGATTCATAATAGAGCTCAGTTTAGGCAAATGAAGCAGGTAACCTAAAGTGTCGAAAATGCAACAGGCCATTATTGGGTAACTTCTTGACCAAACATATTCCAAGGGATATAGATTCAATGCTTTCAGGCGTTCCCGGTACGGCTTGAACCTTAGTTCACGGAGGAGCTTAGTAGAGTTGCCTTCCAAATGGCTTTTATCTTTCAAGGGGAAGTTGGAAAGATGATAGTCCCAAATTCTAGGTGGGCCAGTGTGAAACTCAAAAATTTGGTGGAAACACCCGTGGTCATACTGTCCGAAGATTCGTCACAGGGTTAGTAGTACCATATTTGAATGGAATGCGCTTCCGTCACAACATAAGACTTATTTCGGTGAGACGTCAGCCTCAGATCCTCATCAAGTAAAGATGCATTCAACTCTGTGCCGATTAGATTAGGTGTGACATGCTTCACCTCGCGGTTTTTAAAGGTTGAGGTTAGTCCATTGTAATCTACCCAATTTCGAATTCTAACAAGTCATTTTCCGAAGTGAGCGTACCGTTTTCGTTTCATACTTCTCTCCACAGCTCCAAATCATTGGGGAAGATGGGAATTTCGGCATGGACCTGCTAGGGCAAGTCATTTACGTGAATGGAGAAGAGGAGTGGTCCTAAAGCTGAACATCGGGGGACCCAAGTGGCGCGTTTCGTTTCTAAGAGCATGACCGAATCCATTTGGACCTTAGAGAGGTGGTTATCTGAGTAAGATGGAGACCAGTCGATCGACATTGATCTGATTCCCATCACACTCGATATTTGTGATTGCTGCAGTGAAAAGCCTTAGAAAAACGGGGGCAAATAATGTTCTGTTCAAACGGTCAGCAATGCTAGCCCAACTATCCGCCGCAGTTAGTGGATTGGCGATACCCGAATATCCTCTTCTTAAGTCATGCTAGTGATGCATAAAAAGACTGATGGATATCAGGTAGTCACATAAACCGTCGTAAACTAGCAACCATAACACATCTCTAGGGTGTGGATAAAGGGGTCACAGGCTTGCAGTCCACTAGGTTGCTTCGTTGACCGCTCTTGAGAAAAGATGTGATATCGCCTAGATTTCAAAGTTCAGGCACCATGCACAGGTTGAGGAAATGTGTAAATAGTCCGCTTAAAGTTCGTTTAGAAGCTGGGCGTCTTCGTGTAGGGTAGTGGCATGGGTTTTATGCGCACTCGGACATGTACCCTTTCTTGAGAATGTCGGCTTATGATACGCCCGATTAGACCAGCGGTCAACAGTCGTACTGTTTGTATGGGACACCTATAAGCATTTCTCGTTTCATCCGAAGATGGGGGGAATTGTAAATGCTGGTCAGCCAGACGTCTGTTGCTTCAGCATCACTACTGGTGGGACCACTGGGAACTATCAGTTGAGAAACTCGGCAGAAGGGCGCCACGTCACGCAAAAATCCTTTTGTATTTGATGCAAACATGTCAGTGACCCAGGATTTATGTTTGTCACCCACCAAGACCAAGGTGCAAAGATACCTCGCTTGTCTGAATCACTTGCAGCCGAATTCACAGAATCTTTTCGCGAGCTCTACCCGGTGGCGCCCACCTGATTTCAGTGACTTGAGGGTTTGATTGCACTATACCTCGGGCCCCTTGAGATGCACTGAAGTTTAAGGTGAGAAAGGCGGGCTTTTAGTATGTGTGACTGTGTTACATGTGGGCATTTAAGGGGCATTTATATCCCGCCAATCACGGTTAGTTTCTTGGCCCATTTATTCCAAAGCCTTCTAGAAGGCTACAGTTTCAAGTCGTCTGGATTCCCAATAACATCACTTTACGAGATGCGTCATCATTGTTTTCCAGACATCCTGGAATCTGATGATGACATGGCCACTGTTGCCAAATGGAGGAGGTACCGCTAAGTTATCCACAGAGAATTCTTCCTGCATAGGTATGCTGTTTGGGTGACAGGGGACTTAATGGCCTCTCCAACAAGTTGTTGATCTCACCTATTCGGCCGCTCCAAGTTCTTCGACGACATTAAAGAACAAAGCTAAATCGATATGATCGATCTCACCCTGTGTTTGATCTGCGAAATTGATCTTCAAGAGACTGAGGTCTCTGGAAGCCAATATACACATGGCTTGGTTTGAAAAAGCGGTCGTTTTCTTCAAACACCTGATAATTTTAACGAAGATCCAGAGTTGGCTGGCTATGCATCGACCCCAACAAAAGACTTCGTGGTTTTAGATACCCCATATTGATAACTTTGTAAGGGGTCTGGTTGCATAAACGCTGTCTAAAGGTTAACCAGCTTCACATAAACCAACGTGCACCAGTTCAGAAATAATATGTACCTTACCTACATATAACTGCCGATCGCAAGAGATAAACTAGGAGGCACATTATGTGGTGAAAGTTGCTCGGACGGGTGGTTTATCTATTAGCCAGATCTAAAAAAGTTAAATCGCTGGGAAGAATGCTAACTTATTCGTCTATTAATGGCCAAGCCAAGGACTCTGGGCTAGTTGCTGTCAGTCAGCACAAGAAGGGCGCAAAGTTGGCAAATATTGCCAGAAGGTTGCTAACAAGCTGAAAAAAACTTGCAGACGCCAACACCGTAAAGGATTATTTAGCTATTATTTGACAACTTAAGTGCTAATTAAGTCACTTTTAACCCAGAAGCATTTGAGTTAGAATAACCTGCACTACAACATGAAGCGTTTGATTTCTCGGTAGTGACTTAACGAGCTTCGAGAGATGTGACTCGGAGTGTCACCTCGTCTGTTTTCCCTTAACCTTGTTGTTGCTGAACAACACCGGCAGGAACAGCAAGTCCCTGATCTGAGAATTCGAGAGCGACCAATGTCTAGATAACACTAGCAGAATGAGCATCAAACAGGCTAACCAATTCACGCAGCCATTGGATTTCTGTAAATAGGTTGCACGCATTTGTATTGATGCAGTTGGAGTGCCATTTATCGACGTTTCCATGGAATCCAATGTTTTGTGTGAAGGGTCAAAAGCATAGGGAGGGGTTGGTTTCAGTGAGATCCACTGGTAAACATACCCCGGCCCCTCCCTTATTTTTGTCAGCGGCCAATTCGTCGGCAACGTAAGTGGTTCGCATTTGTTTTGACTCTCTTGCAGGTGTTCCTTTTGCAACCTGTGTGGATCCATATGAACTCAAGGTGACAAGCGGTGTCTTCTGGCTGGGAAGTCTCTCAGTGTAGCTGCCAGCATCGAGGTTATCTGGAACACCACTTTGATTGGCAGGGGTCTGGAGTCCTCGTCCTTTACGGGCATACATGAGTTTTGGTTTTAATAAGCCTTCAAGGTTCAGGTGTGTTCTTAAGGATTTCCACTGGTAGTTACCGCTGCGAACTTCTACCGCCTCTTGACCCTTCGGAACTGTTTAGACCATCAGATTTCTACTCCCCGAGTAGCCTCCTCAGCTCTTACATGCCCTTTGAGATTCATAGGTTCTAAATGTGAAATTTCTGGAAGAAACCTTGGCCCTCCTTTGGCGTCGGACTGGGTAGATGCAAAAATACATCCTCAAGGCCCTCAAAATCAGACAGCACTATCCTCAATGGCCTTGGTTTTTCTGTGTAAGCTGAGCTTAGACAATGGGAGGGTGTTGTTACTGCGATCGGCCAGATTAACTTAACCTTTAGTTGACAGGCGGTGTTGTCTTACGACATCCGGTCATTCTAGTCCTGAATGCCATGCGCGAACCCAAAGGAGTCCACTAAATTCTCTAGGGTTGTGGAGTCCTCTCGGCGGTAGTCTGAATTTCAGCTTTATGATAATGATGTTTTACCCCTGAAACAGAACAGAGACATTTTCGAGGTGGCGGCATCAGGACGACATGGGTAACTGAGGCGGAATACGCATTCACATCTTTAATTTCAGCTGAATAGATAAAGTGGGCACCCTTCTCATGCTTATTTCTTTGGACCACAATGACTAATTCTAATAGCATAAACTTTTATTGCTGTGGACGATGACACTTGAAAAGTGGGGAACACTTGGTAGCCCGCCTAGACCCTTGGCTAACAAAAATCTTCTGTAAAATATACTTCTGCAGATTCTTCCCTTCTAGTGTGTTTTCTTTCTTAAAATATGTCTTCTAAACGTATCGTGTTCTCTCGCATCTTTTCAAAAGGCTTTTGAAAGGTCGTTGCTCAAGTTACTCAGAGAAGACGTTACATTAGATGAAAATAGACTGATAAATCCTCGAAAATACAGCACATCACCATTCCTAAGATGCCCAAATCGAATAACAGATTTTTGCAGTGACTGACTAAACTTCGACCACAAAAGTCACGTTGTCACCTCAAATATGGTTAATATTAACACTGTCCTGGTGAAATGACTGTTTTTTCCAAAAATACTGTGCCGGGAGTGATTTTTTTGAAACATTACATGCTGGGGATTCCATGCCGTATCACATATCCTGTCTGGAACAAAGCGATTATAATCATCCTTTTACTGTTATCATCAAAAATGCTGAAGGTTAGATACTCACTTAAGTTACATGATTGTCTAGGCTTCATATTCCCGAAGTCGTTAAATCAAGTTCTTTTTCGACGAGACCACAAACACATGATCTGATAGCAACATAGACGTTTATTTGGGGAGACATGGAACTAAGCAGGTGGGTCAAATACGTCAGCCACTTGCAATGCAAACATTGAATATTGCGCGACCTCGATGCCAACCATAGGTGGAAAAATGAGTGAAAGGGATCTAACTTCGTAAACCCTATGTAAGTGCTGCGGGATGCTATTTTCCTTATCATTTCATAGCTTGTCGACACTTCTGACGTTATGGTAGAGTCTGATGTACTCCCCTCTATTCCATTCACGACCACTCGTGTGTTGTAGATTTGTAGACCACCACCGATTTCATGATGTCTGTAAACCGGCTCCTCGCATGTTAACTTCGTAATGTGAGCACAAAATATTCAATAACTTTGAAGGTTTTGAGCCGATAAAGTTCTGTTAGGAGGTGGATTTGCAGTCAAAACAATATTTTTCCAGAGGTGTGCTCCAGACAATAGGAAAAACTTCGTAGTTCGGCGACCAGAAATCGGGACGCCTGTTACAGAGGGATAAAGAGTGGTAAGTAGCAATGAAACTTGAAGATGATTACAAAGGCCACGGAATTTGTTAGAAATTGCTGCCTAGTATATCTGGTAGTGTAACCTCGCCTGGCTAACTAGTTCACTAGTTACTAGCCGGTCCTACACCCGGATAAACAGGGAAGGTTGGTCATAAGGCTAGCAACTCCATCCCGTTAAACCAATCCAGCCGCCAAAGACACTTCAAAGCACAAGCAAAATATAAAGAATAAAAACAAAATTATTTCAAGCTGGAATCGGAGAGGCGAAATGACGCCACTTGGTGAAAGCCTTCGGGAAGCCAGCCAACCGATCCATCTTCTCTCGATGAAAGCGAAAGTAGGGATGGGGACATGGAATGTCCGCACCATGTATGAACCTACCAAGGCTGCCAAGACTGCAAAACAGATGAGGAGGTATGGCATGAAAGTGCTTGGAATATGAGAAATCAGATCGAATGGAGGTGGACTCCCCAAACTGTCAACTACACAGTCAATAATCTACTCCGATATTGTCACCCAGACGGCAACAACAACAAGCACACTGAGTTTTGGAGTGGATATCATGATGTCCCCAAGAGCAGCGAAGGCTCTTATACAGTGGGAACCAATCTCCTCCTGCAGGATCATGACAGCAAGATTAAACTCAAAAGGAAGCAAAGTCACAATCATACAATGCTACGCTACGCACCTACAAATAATGCAGATCAAGAGAAGAAGGAGGAATTCTACAGACAACTGCAATCAGTAACAGACAAGACTCCACCCCAGATGGCGACATCAAAATTCTAATGGGTGGGCGGCATGAATGCCAAACTCGGAGCAGACAACACAGGAAGAGAACTCATAATGGGTGGAGAAGCACTCGGTGAAATGAATGAGAATAGAGAATTGTTTGCAGACTTCTGCGCATCCAACGATTCGGTGATTGGAGGTGAGGCAGTGTGTACAAACACAAGGATATTCACAAAGCCACATGGATTTGATCTCACCAGACACCAGGACACACTACACTAAACATCAGATCGACTCCATTTCAATGTGAAGAAAGCGGAGACGAAGCCAGCCTACTGGACACAAGATCAAGAAGGGGAGTAGATGTGGGTTCCCACCACTTCACTCACTATTTAGTGCAAGGAACCTACCTTCGAAATCAGGTTGAAAGCCTTCAAAGAAGTTGGTGATAGACCACAGTTCAAGTTCAACACCCAGAAGATAAACTGAAGGACGAAACTACAAATAACGTCTTCACGTCAGTCAGCCCTCAGGACAAAGTGGGAGATATTGAGCAACGTTACTAAAAGAACCTGTGTGGATGGGCACTGGAAACCTGCATAACCGTATCAGGAAGGAAGAAGAAAGAAGATAAGGAACTCCCAGGACACACGGAAGCTGATGGAAAAGGGAGAGAAGTATGGTGAAGCAGAAGATAAACCAGTGCAAGGATGAACAACGAGAAGAGGAACTGAGTACAATGTATAAAACGCTGGACGAAGAAGTGAAGAGGGGTGCGCGCAAAGACAAAACACACCTCCGCGACACACTGGCAAGTGAAGCAGAACAGACTGCAGGTAGGAAAGATACAGACCTGACAACAATGTATCAAATAACCAGGTCGCGATCTGAGGGGGAAGGGATCAACACAGATGGAACTAACAAAAGACAATAAGGGAAACTTAATTACGAAAGAAGGGAAACAAAGGAAAGGATGTGCCGGCCACCACAAAAAGCTCTTGAATCGACCACCACCTACACTTCATCCAGAAATACCACCTGCAGTCCAACCACAGAACTACAAGTAAATACAAATCCTGCAACAAAGGTAGAAGTCCTGATCGCCATGAAGCTACTGAAATGCGGGAAAGCAACAGGACCAGATGGAATCCTGACAGAAACACTGAGAGCAGACGCGGAGACAACAGTGAACATGCTCACACCACTATTACAGAAGGTCTGGAAGGGAAGGAAGGTACCTGCCAGTTGATTGGAAGAAGGGTTACCTTGTCAAACTCCCAAGGAAGAGCGACTTAAGTCTTTGCGAAAACTGGAGGGGAATCATACACCCCGTCTGTACACACCAAACAGAATATTATTCCGCATCATCCCGGAGAGACTAAAGTATAAGCTGGGTTCAATACTACGAGTGGAACAGGTTGGCTGGATTCAGGAAGTACAAATCGTGTTCGGACCAAATTGCAACGCAACTCTACGCATTATGATAGAACAGAGTATAGAATGGCAGTCAACTCTACCCGTACCTCATCTTCATCAACTTTGAGAAGGCATTTGACAGCGTCGACTGAGAAGTAATCTGGCAACTACTTCAGCGCTACGGTATGCCACAAATCTTTATCAGTCTCGTCCAACAACTATATGAAGATGCCACATGCCAAGTAATTCACAATGCGAAGCTCAGTGATGCTTTTGAAGTGGAGACAGGAGTGAAACAAGGCTGTCTACTATCACCCATGATCTCCCTGATTGTGGTGGATTGGAGCGAGAAGATGGGCATACGCTGGATTGAGGAAAAGAACCTAGAAGATTTGTATTTCGCCGATGACTTGTGTATAATGTCACACAAACTTGAAGATCCACAGGTGAAAACTAACAAGTTGATAGAAAAGGTAGGGCAGCGAACACGGGACTTCGAATGAACGTGGAGAAGACAGAGGTGATGAAGATACCCAACCAACACCACCACCAACAACAACAAGCTCCAATCACCATCAACGGCAGAAACCTGAAAGAAGTAGCCCTTTCACCTATCTAGGCAGCACTGTTTCGACCACAGGCGGCGGCACGGAAGAGAACGTCAAATCCAGCCTTGATCGGAAAAAGAAGACAGGCGTTCATCAACATGAAACCAGTGTGGAGATCTTCTGCACTCAGCATAAAGCGTGAACAACATCCGGATTTTCAACACCAACTTCAGTGAAGTCAATGCTTCTGTATGGCTCAGAGACTTGGTGCTCTACGAAAGGAGTTCCCAACAAACTACGGACGCTC